CCTCCTCCTCCCCATCCTCATCCACTTCACCATCGCCATCATCCATGTCATCGTTCTCCTCCACCTCCTCCTCCATTTCCCCTGATTCTTCTTTTGTTGATTCTGCTGCTGCTGCCGCTGCCGCCGCTTCTCGGTCTGCGGCGGCGCGCAGCTCCTCCTCGACCTCCGACACGTGCGGCGTGAGGGCCTCTTGCAACCACGCCGGCAACTGCGCCCCGTTTGCGTCGAGCAGCTTCGCCGCCAGCGCCGACGACGCCGCATCAACGACGTCGTTCTGGAAGGCGCCCATGTCCTCTGCGTTGCGGACGCGCAGCGGCTGGTGGAACTCATACGACTGGCGCAGGCTCTGCACGAAGTAGTCCTCCATCGCGCGGAGACGACGCTCCACCAACACCGCCATCTCCGCCTCACGGTCNCACGAAGTAGTCCTCCATCGCGCGGAGACGACGCTCCACCAACACCGCCATCTCCGCCTCACGGTCGTATGTCTCCTCGTCGGCGTCCTGAATCGCCGTGTCCTTCAGCGGGTCACCCACCTCCATGTTGCTGTCGAGCGGCGGGATTGGCAGCAGCACACCGCTTTCAAGACTCATGCGCTTCTCCTCCAGCTCACCAGTTTCCTTGTTGCGCACCTTCACCACGTCGAGGTGGCACGGGTTGTTCGTCGACGGGTCCACGTGCTGCACACGCGTGACGCTGATCGGGTGCTCCCGCTGCACCACCTGCTCGGGCCGCGTATCCGTCGCGGGTATCACAACATCCTGCACGTTGATGTTCTGCACAATGATTTCGTTCTTGTACTTCACCACTGCAATGATAGTGCCGCGCTGGCCGGCGCCCTCGCCGCTCACCACCTCCACCATGTCGCCGGGGTACCAAATCCACGGCGTGATGACGTAATCTGGCGCGAAGTAGCGGTACCGCGCTGACAGCTGCTGCTTCTGGTGCTTCTCCAGGTCGCGGCGGATCCACTGGTTGTGGTACGTGTGGTCCTGGTAGAAGTCGCGCTCCCTAGGGTGGCGCAGCGACTCTAGGAGCTCAAGCCGGTCGCGGTCGCGCAGGTCAACCTTCTCGTCGCTGTACGTGCCACTCAGAAGGCCCGGCTTCACCTTGGGGCGTCGCAGCAAGTTGGGATTCACGTTGTACGCGCGCAGGGGCCGCTCGGGACGCTTGTAGAACTTGGAGCGTGGGCGAAATCGAGCGTACATCCCCGCCAACCCCACACACTGGCACTCGTACCACCTCCTACAATCTGCGAAGGGAGCAAAGCAACAAGCCGCAAAAGGAGCGAGACAGAGAGATGATGAGTACAGCACAAAGCAGACATAGCACAGAGAGACACACACGCACATCCACACCCCCTCCCAAGCAACAACGACAACAAAAAGAAAATGAACAACAATGTGGATGGAGTGCATGAAAATGATGCCCCGACTTCGCGAATTATCCCAGTGCACCTTTCTGGAGGCCCACTCCAAGCACTGAGGGAGCAGAACAACACGCCGCCACAGCAGCGCGTAAATATATATAT